GCACTGATCACAAATTGGTGCGCACCAAACTGTAGATATATTTTCGTAAATCTATGTATTGCACTTCCACCGTGAATCGGCGTAAATTTACCATTCTCTCTCTCAAAACTGTGGAGAAACGTATTGAGTTGGAGAAGGAGATGGTGGCACGCCTGTGTGATGTGGACTGCACAGCCACAGTGGGTGACTTGTGGCACCACATTTGCGACCAGGTGACAGCTGCTGCCGAGGAGACCATCGGGCGCGTAAACTTTTAGCGGTCTGACTGGCTTGAGGTGAACAATGCGACGATTAGCACATTGGTGTCGGAGAAGAATGCAGCATTTGTGGCACATGTGGCAGACCCCAGTAAGTTGGGGAAGAAGAGAAAGTTTGGGCAAAATCGAGGATGACTGCCCCGAGAGCTCCGTCGCAGCAAAAATGCATGGTGAACGGAGAAGGCGAAGCAGATGGAATGCTACGCCGAACGCTGCCAACACAAGGAATTCTTTGACTTCTTGAAGGCGGTGTATGTACCGAGGATGGAGCCGCTGAGGACGCTGGTCGATGGTAGCTCAAGCGTTATCTGCGGACAGACCGCAGACATAATGCGGATCTGGCAAAAACACTTTTAGTGTCTCTTGTACAAACGTTCAGAGATCGACTGGACTACTTTGAACGGCCTGAAGCAGCACGATGTGAAGGGGAGTCTGGCGGACACGCCGAGACTGGATGAAACGCAGAGAGCAATTGATCAGCTGCGAAACGGCAATTGTGCCGGTGCCGACGGGATCCAGCCTGAAGTATTGAAACAAGGCGGACCAGCGTTGGTGACTGAGCTGCACAACTTGGTGCAACGCGTGTGGATTGAGGTCAAGGTGCTACCTGAGTTGAAGGATGCCCTTGTACAAGTGCAAAGGGAGCAAGCAATGTTGCACGAATTATCGTGGCATCAAGTTGCTGAGTTGTGATGGCAAGGTGATTGCCCGAATCCTGCTCAACCACTTCGTCAGTCAGGTTGTGGAACCTAAAGTGGCGAAAGAGCAGTGTGGATTCCGTTCGGGTCGCAGCACCATCAATATAGTGTTTGCGGGTCGACAATTGCAAGAGAAGTGTAGAGAAGGACATTAGTCGTTGTACTCGCTTTTTGTTGATTTCACCAAGGCATTTGATACGATGAACCGCGAGGCATCGTGGCTAGTGTTGGGTAAGTTTGGTTGTCCGCATAAATTTGTAAGTCTAAGTGAATGTCTGCACAGTGGTATACGGGCGAGGGTGTAGCTGAGTGATCAGACCTCGGATGAATTTGCAGTTGTCTCTGATGTGAAACAAGACTGTGTCTTAGCTCCTCCTTGGTTAATATTTATCTTCATGCAATGACATATTTTAATTGCTCATTTGTTCGCCGAGCTGCGAAATTGGTTTGCAAACGTTTCACCGTCATGCGAGACGGCATCATCAGTGCGTCGAGATATGCAGTGTAATCTCGCTGATTGAATTGTCGACCCGTGATCGGCGTGCAGGTGACATTTCGAAAGTGACGGCTTCGATCTGAGTCCCGTGATCTCTACCCATTTCCCCGTGGCGGAGGTCGTCGCTTGGGTTGTTCCTATTCAAGCGGCGTCTCATAATTTCTTTAAGTTCTCTCCGTCGGAGGGGTTGGTAAACCGGGTCAATCTCGATATGCATGTTGATCGAGTCTTGTGTTGAGAACCACGCTTCCAGGAATTCCCTTGCTCTTCTTGTTTCCCCTCGTGCAAGGACTTCTGTGTTGGCCCAGTCGAAGCTGTGTTCTTTTGCATCCACGTGTGCTGAGACTAGCGAAGATGCATAGTGTTTTTTGCATGCTCTTTTATGCTCTTGTAATCACGCCGATCACGGGTCGACAATTCAATCAGCGAGATTACACTGCATATCTCGACGCACTGATGATGCCGTCTCGCATGATGGTGAAACGTTTGCAAACCAATTTCGCAGCTCGGCGAACAAATGAGCAATTGAATTACCAACCCGAGCTACCAGTTTTCCAAAATATTTTAAATGACATATTTTGCTTTTGATGCCGCTTGTGCTCACGGTGTTCGTGTGGAGTACTGTATTGATGGTGGGTCGCTGAACATCCGTCGTTTCGGTGCGAGAATCCTAGCCTGTGAGACAACTATCCGTAGGCTGCTCTTCGCTTACGACTGTGCGTTGTTTGCTCACAGCGCGGATGAGTTGTAGTACATGACTAGTGCTCTGGCTTCGACAGCGGCCAAATTCGGGCTCACCATCAACACAAGCAAAACTGTCTGTCTCTTTCAGCCTTCACCGGAAGTGCAATCTACAATGGTGCCGCGAATCCGCAATGGTGCTGAGGTATTGGAAACCACCTCCCGCTTCTGCTACCTTGGGAGTGCGATGTCGACTGACCAGCAGCTTCACAATGAGCTTCGTATCCGCATGTCGAAGACAGTGGCGGCATTCGGAAAGCTAGAGCACCGAGTGTGCAACAACCATCAGCTTACCAGTGGCACGAAGCTGATGGTGTACAAATCCATGGTGGTGTCCGTTCTTTTATACGGCAGCGAAACGTGGACTATGTACCGGCGAAATGTGCGATATCTCGAGCGGATCCATCAACAGTGTTTGCGACAGTTTCTGCGCATTGGTTGGTGCGACAGAGTTGGATATACGGAAGTGTTGCGCCGAAGTAGAATGTATACAGTGGACTGCATACTTTTGCTGACACTTGAGGTGGCTCGGTCATGTGTGGCGTATGAATTCGAGGAGGATAGCGAAGCGACTACTATATAGTCAGCTGAGTTTGGGGATGCGGCTCGTAGGGAAACCGAAGTGCCGTTACCAGGACATGATCAAAGTGAGCCTATCAGGTCATGGGAATCGAAGGCGGTTGCTCGGCGTGCATGATGCGATTAGATCACGAAGGCCGTTGCCGATGTGCAAGAGAACGCCCACGTGCATGCGGAGAAGTGGCAAGTGCGGAAGCGGCGGGCGCCGATGGGTTGTACTCTATCGACATCGAGCGCATGGTGCTGTTGTACTTGCGGGGGCAAGTGCCTGAGTCAGGCAGGCCTAGTGAGCCATGAGCCACTCGGGTCGAACACCGAAACGACGACGGGTGCTGCTGAGAACGTAAGCAGAACCAGCGCAGAGTTTGTAGGTACGCTGCATTCGATTTACTAACCGCTTGATTGCATGCTGGGTCTCTTTATTTCAGTTGGTGGGTTTTCTATAGTGTCTTATTAATGTCTGCTTGAACTATCTTCTATTAAGTTATACACGTTGTTTAAGCTAATTGGGCTTATCTTCGCTAACTTGATTGCGCTTGTAGCATATTTCAAGTAACTTCTGAACATTTTGTACTCACTGCGGACTCATTGTTAACCAACTTACATCATAAATATACTTTATTCGATAACGCGGGCCAGCACCGTTGATGAAATGAGGCTCGCATCCACATGCTTCCCGGTCTTATTCCTTCGGGTTTACACTGGATATGGGGTGTGTGGTTGGAACTGAGTGGTGCAGCGCAAGCCAGCCATGGTCCCGCAGTAGGCGCAGGCGTCATGTGGCTGTCTCAATGGAGGCCACCGTGACAGGCAAAGCAGAACACTGGGAGGCAAAATGTCTCGGGAAAAATGATTATTTAAGAGAGAAAACTATCTGAATTAATGGTGTACAGCCGAAGTGGCAAGCAGTTTCAGAAACATTCACGTCCATCCCGTGACGTGTTTACCTACCTTCTCATTGGCTAGTGGAACCGAACTGCCAAGCAGAACAGATGACCTAGGTGATGTGGGACACCAAACATTCTTAAGTTGATTTATAGATACCCGTTCATTTTACACTACTTCCCGCTGTCCGTATTTGCTTCCACATGCATTTGCATAGAATCGTTGCCTTCGGTCCTAGTTTGGGCTTGAGCTCGCAGAGAACGACAGCAATGCAACCGGAATCGCGAATAAATGAGCAGACCTAACACAGATGTAACATGCGACGGACAGGAATGAGGAAACGAAATATCACACCTGGATACGTATAAAACAGTAGCTTTAAAATAATTGACAGTTAAAATATTGAAGTTTAATACCGATCCGTTCTTGATTGACTCGATTTGTCCCCTGTGAGGCTAGAACTCGCGACCTTACGCATATGCGTCAGTGGTTAAGACAATAGGGACATGAGTGATGAGCGGCAGTTGCCCTGAAGATAAGTAAGCGCTGTTAGAGTCAGGTACTTTGTCCGGTTGTTACCGAATAGAATGTCTAGGATTGACTCTAACCAGGCACGATGTCCATTAATGGGAGATTTGTGATGGAATAGTCCAAGTATTCAAGAGCAGCATCTGTAAATCCCCTGGAAAAGTTTTCAACTTTAGAACTAGCAGAGCTGAGCTAGATGGTATATAGATGTTGGCAATTAAAATGGAATGGAAGGTAGTTCATCATGTTAGTTGAAATTGAGATTGGTACCCAGGGTCCGAGTGGACTTTTTAGTTAAGTGTTTAGTGAATTGGTTGCAATACTTCACACGAGTTCCAACATCACGTGTTTAACATAGTAAAGCCAGATTTTCTGTAGCATAATGACGCCTAATCGAGAACATTCACGACAGTCTATTACACCTTGAGCTGATCTAATTTTGCCAGAAGCGAACGGGTATTGGCACTAAGTAAAATGAGTATGCTCGTACTTCCGAGATTTTTCTCCAACCGGTATGAGGCATTTTCGTAGAGCTCACTCGCTTCGTTTATATCTCGCTATTTGGTTTCCGCTAATTTCGCAGCCTCAACGACTCGCAAGGCGAAGTTGCATGTCAACACAGAGTCATGGATACTGCACTAGCCTACATAATACGATGAAAATGGCGAAAAAGGGTTGCATTTAGATTCGGCGCTGATGCTAAACGAATATAACAATCTAACGGTGGCCACTCAGAGAAGCTAACTGAAAACGAAATACAGTAGAGGAAAAATTTGTGGATTCAAGAACCTTTGATTTAAAGACCAAAATGCAGGATCAAAGAATCCGAAACTATCATGACAGTGCCAGTAAGGACCAAGCGGTAAGTACACAAGCCTGCCAACGAAACGTTTACATTGTTCGCAACAACCTATATGGAAAAGAAAAAACGTCAATGTTAGCTTTTTACTCGTATCAACGAATGTTGCCGTCAGCTAATCTGCACATTGCGAAGAGTAGTGGCCTTAATACAAATAGTAGGCGAGCGCCTGAGTGTCCATGGAATTCCTTTGTAGGTCGCGAAACCATCTGCATCCACTCTAAGATCTGTTTTAACTTGATCCCATATCTTTTTCTTCGGATTCAACTGCTTGTCGGGAGCATCTGTAATGAGATGAAGGGTACAAGCTTGTCGTGAAAAAACTGTCTGGAACACGAAGGCAAAATTACCGAATGAGTTTGCTATAGAGTTACATAAACATCTGATATCTGGAAAATGGTGGAACGATTTTAATTCTAAAAGTAGATGCCATCTGTCTAATGTACACCAGTAGTACTAGTTGGACTCAATAGCAAGGCAAACTTGTTGTGAACAGAAGGGAAGTGCATTAGAAGACCAGGTTTTATAGTGTTACTCAAGTAATGCACGGGCGCTTCGTTTTAGTAATATATATGGAAAAGATTAAAAGTAAGATATAGCAAACGAGCTCGTTTTCAGTGGTTCATCTTCAGGCTATTACACCGGGATTAAACAAAACACTAATCAAATGCAATGATGAAAAAAGGGATCGAAGTTTCTAATCAATCTAACTAAACGCTTGGGCTAATCAAGGTCAAAGCAGGCGGAATGACGTGATCTATCTCGTTAGTGGGGTCGGACTATGGTCAGGGCAACAGAATGGCCTATACGAGTTTCTTTTGAGCACACCGCCTCGGGTTTTAAAGTCAGATGGCGATTGCCTCTGATGTAGCCAGTAGACGGCATCTGACAGTTCACGTGTAGTGTCCGGGTATCCGGTAGATGGGCTGAAATGTCTCTTGCGTTTGGATCTGGTGATTTGTATGAATTCTTATCGTCCTCCTTTTAGCACTACTGAGCCAAGCAGGGCAATGTTCCCGAACTCTTTCGGATAGACGCCTGGAAAACACTTGGCTACGTTACAGCGAGTTTGTTTAACTGTATCTAAGGAATAATCCCATGGGTGTAGCAACGTAGATAAAGTGGAATCAGCCTTGTCATATATCATGACAACTTACAGTACAATTATGACGTCAGTACTGGCTGAGTTTGATCAGCAGAATAAACGTATGATTCTGAAGGACCGAGTTTTGGAACATTGCGTCCATTTTGAAAATAATGTCCACATTAGAAGGACAAAGACAGGCAGAGAAGCAGGGCATCCATGGTGAGTAAACTGTGATAGATACAGGGGCCTTTCCAAGGTATTTCCCAGCCACAATGATCGGTAAAGTGACTTAAAAACAAATTTTGTAGTATGCATAAAGAGGTGTCTTAAGAAAAAAGCAGAACTTAGTGTGTTCGAAGGGACAACAATAAAAATAATGCTGCTTGCTAGGGCAATGAAGTGCCGTAAGTTAGTAACTCATGGGGTTTATTGGGAAAGCATATGGCCACACACACACACACACTAGAGGTTAATTTTGAAACACACGCCGGGTGGATGGATTGCGACAAGTAATCTCAACCATGGTTCATTATGATGTGAACTTTGGTTAATTTGATCAATGGGGCAAATGTGTGTTAGGCGTTACCCAGTAGAAACACATGAGTCGCAGTCTCACAACCGCCATCCAGTAAATGCAACTAACCAGTCGTGGAGTGTGGCATCAATAGCATCAACAAATTACACACACAAGACTACCCACTTGCATGCAATATCATGTCGTGTTAATAATTGTGTCGAAATAGCGTGCGTCCTAGTGTTGAAATCTTGAGCCGTTTAGGAGAAAGCAATTCCTTTTTCCGGCAGCCTCTCACGACTTTGCAGACAGAAGCCTCAAAGATGAATGGTCCCTAGTTAATTCGTAGAGGACATGCCTAAAGAATGAGTCCATGGATAAAACCATGTAAAATGAAACCTAACTAACGTTACTGAATTCGCTGTAAAAAAGGATAATAATCAAAAGCGCTGTCCAATAAAGTGAAATGGGCACATACAGGCCAGGTCACCCACATTGAAAGAGCAATGCGACAAATAATGGAAAGCTTCTCGAAGTACTTGACTTACAAGTGACGTCTGGAACGACAACTGTATCTCCGACGATTGCTTCAGTAGAATCCAGTACCAGTGGTTCAACTGCACCGCCCATTGGCGCAACTGCACATAATAACATCGCCTCCGATTCCACACCGAGCATTTTAGCCGGTTTTAAATTACAGAGAAAAACACCCATGTAGTCTCGCAGTGCCTCAATTGGGACGAACTTGACAAGGCCACTGATGACTGTGCGAAGTCGTCCCTCACCAAGATCCACCTAAAAATGCAAACACGATGAACGTGGGAGATATAGGCCACGAGCAACGGCTATGGAAGAAATGTGACATGAAATAACGGTTGATGTTGCGAGATGTCTCTCTTACACCAGAAAGTATTAAGAGTTTAACAAGGTTGCAAGGAAGAAGTGATGTGCTCCGAAAAGTTGTACAAGTTGGTGCCAACATTCAAACACTGATATTTAAGCAGTCAATGAGTCGAGATGCAGCCGTTAAAAGCCATGGAAGTAACTCGAGTATTGAGCGGACGAAAATTCATGCAAATAGATGAAGGAGCTATTTTGTCCAAAGACAAGGAGTCAGAAGTAGATGGAAGGAAAATGTGCAAATCTTCATCGCCAATTGACAGAAACGGGAAACCATTCGACAGGTATTCGGAAAAGTTATCAATAGAAAAAGCCCGCTTAAGCACCAAATGAATGACCAAAGGGTATAATAACACAACTACCTTTTCAATATAAAGCGAGTCCGCGTCAGGATGGCGGGTGACCTCTACAATCCGGCCGACGCGAACATCCAGACGACCGAAATCGATAGAAGGTTCTTTTGAATTCGGTGAAACCTTAGGCTTGGCAGAAAACTTCGAGTCGCCCACGGGATGGAGATGCTGAGTGGTGGCAAGTTTTCTATCTGATTTGATGCTTGGTTTCTGCTCATCTGCAAGTGTATAAAATATAGGAAAGAATTATACGATAATAAAACTCAAGGATTGAAATGACAACTCTAGAACCACCAGACGGAAGATGAATGCAGCATACGATATATATATATATGTACGAGAAATAAATAAATATATATATATTTATAAGAATCCACAAGTACAAATGCGTTGCAAAGGGATCAAACAGCAAAGGCAGAACTGGATAAAGGTACTAGGTACCGAAACTAAGCAAGCATCAACAGTACATGCATCAAAAGGCTGCGCTTCAGATGTAAATCGGAATCGACAAGTTTCAATTTACTCTACATAGCAAACAAATATAGGTTCAAATCACATGCATGTACAAACTAGCGGAGTCTCAATATGCCTTTTACAAGACAATGAAGTAAGATAATTGACCAGCCAAAAGAATGCTACACAAAATATTAGGCTCAGATACGCACAAAAAGCAGTCGAGGCACAGAGACAAGTTGGAGCTTGAAAAACAGTTCGTTTCATCACGCAATTCAAATATTTTCAATACCGATTATTTGCAATCCCTCCGGTAATACTTGCACAAAGCGTCTTTAGGCTAGGAATCCTAGAATTACGCATAAAATCATTAGTGTTATTTCAAGAAGTGTCGTACATAGACCACTCCTCAGAGTAGTCCTTTGCGGAACATTTTTCACCTGTTATTACTGTGTGGGTTAAAAACCCGACACAAACACCAATCATTTTTGCGTTTATTGATGTGTAAAATGATTTACAAAACTCCTGTTTTTATAAGGTGAACTCGTCTGAGAGAAAGCTGAAGATACTACTCATCCTAAGCCAACAAAAACAAAAATGCCGTGAGCCTCTGAAATAGAAGTGACAGAGAGCATAACTGAAATGTATACCACACAAAGTAACAAAATACAGTGGAAAAACATTAAATGTTAGATGAGAATCGTCGAACATAATTTAAAGCTACTGACACTAATAACTTTTATTCTGGAACCACCGAAAACCCAACGTAATGAAGACCTTGAAAGGGCAGGTAACATCATGGTCGCCAAAGCAACAGAGGCATATTAAAAGTGAGGTTCCTCGAGCGCAAACCAACAGAGCACATGAATTGCGTTCACTTAACCAGCTGCCCCAAAAACCTGAACGAGCTGAGCCCAAGGTCAACCCGGCTGATGTCTAAGGCACAGGAAAAATATCGATCAACAGACCAGTGTGGATTTGAATCAGGTTCAATCATTCATCATTATACACGTCAGCTAGAGGTGGGAAACACCTCAGCTACTGTGGCGCAATACATAAAAGAAAAAGGAAAATAAGTACAGAAGTTGCATGCCAGCTGAGCTACCAGCAACGGATAGGCATCGTTCCGGCAAGCTGTACAGTGTGAATACTTCACCCGTGTTGGTTCACGTTCTACTCACAGAATAAACTCCGCTTTTTCGTGTACTCGTTTACACGTTCTTCATTGATGGGGATTGGCCTACGCTCTACGCTAGCAATGTCCGACACAACAAAAGGATTAGCTATTCCAGTAATGTCATCTTTAAGATAACTGACAGTTACCCAATCGATAAACTGAAACGCATGCTTTTAATAGCTGCTTCCATCAGTGATGGAGATTGCACTGCTACGCGCCTTCGTAAAAAGATCCAAAAACACGATTTTTCGGTCCTCCTAAAAATCATCAGAGGATGCCGCAAAATCATTCATTGACATGAGGTCAATTATTATGGCGACAACTGTTTAAAAGCGCTGTAATTAGAGCGGATAGAACTCTACTAGAAATAGAAATGGAGCTAAAATCGGTGTCTCACTAGTTCACTCAGTCACAGTCTAGAGAACCACCTTTAACAACACATTTCAAAATACATCTGTGCCCTGAGGTTGATCTTGACGACTCCGTCGAATCCGCAAGAGGCCATACAGCAGAGGGTGCCTCTAACATTGTTGTTCCATATGAGAACACAACTGTAAAAAAGGCACTTAGATATATCCCAAAGATAATCGACTTAACCACAACGCCGCTTAGGCAAAAAATTTCATGCGTAAAAATAAATAGCGTTACTCCATCGCCAAATAGTATTGAACCAACCCAAAAGCTAGAAACACATGTTCCTCGGGTTAATACTCGACCTGGAGAAGTTGTAGCTCTATTTCTATCTTTGTCTTGCGAAATGGAGAATATCATTATTACACTGAAGAGTCACTTGTTCATGAAAGGGCGGCTAATCTCAGAGAAAAGGAATAAACCATCTTCAATGGATTGCGCTGATCCAGTGCTCCTTAATAAATCAGATGCATCTGACGTTAAGATGCTGTATTCTCAGGGCCGACAGCTCAAAGTAAAATAGTCTTTAAAACAAAAAAGAACTCAGTGGTTAGTCCATAACTCCTGGATAACGTTTGAACTACTATCACTCCATACAGTAACGTGCACATCAGCACCAATCCTAGCGCCGAATTTTTAGGTTAAAGTTGGAAGTAGCCTCCACTGCTCTTACCACCGCTCCCGTAATGATAACGGTGAGCGATTGCTACAGCTGTGTGAAGATGCTCGCCACTTTCTCGCGAGCACTAACTTTCGACACAGCACCCGCAGAAGCGTGACTTGGCGGCCACCATGGACGCAAATCGATCATATCGCGATCAGTTACCACTGGAGAGGCTGTGTCCAAAACTGTCGTTCGATTTGGAGCAAGAGCTTGGACTCTGACCATGCACTTGTTTGCGCCGACCTCCGGGTGCGTTTCGGTGGACGTCCGCAATGTCTATGTGAATGGATTTACACCAGCCAGCTGGCGAAGCTAGATGTTCTGAATGTGTATCATAGTGCGCTGACATCTGGGCTGAGTAACTGCCCACTGAACACCGTCGAAGATCACTGGTCGCATATTCGTAAAACCTTACTTTTAGCAGGCATGTCTTCATGTGGCAAAGCAAATTGCCAAACCGGACATTGGGTCTCTACAGTCTCGGGAACTTATGGATCCTCGCCGACGTATTCCGGCTGGAAGCGAATATAGTGAGACTCACAAAAATCTCAGGGCAAAATTACGTGCTAGCCTGAAGAGACCGCGAAACCTGGTGGTTTTATCGTGCCTCTGAGATGTAAACAGCCGCTACCGTTGGCAATCATTGCAAGTTATTCCGTCTGATACGGAAAACAGGCAGCAGGAGACCTGGTGTTAGCGAGACCATACGCGAGTGCACAGCCGATCCACAGCTTGTCAAAACGCTTGGAGCGTTGGGCCGAACACTTTGCAACGCAATTTAACCAACCTGAGTTATCGGTTTCTTTTTCGGGCATTGAGCGCCCTTCTCCCTGAGCCCTCTCCTTGGATCCGCCCTCACGCGCAGAAGTAAACGTGATATCAGGCTGCTGAAATTGCATAAGGCCGCAGGGGGAGATCGAATTCCCCCAGCCCTCTTCAAATTCGGCGGACCTGCTCTAATACATGATTTACACGAGTTGCCAGTAAAACTTTGGGAGCAGGAGACTGTCCAGACAGACTGGAACCCCACCGTCATTGTCCCAATTTTCAAGGGAAACTCCCGTTTGGAATGCGGCAACCATAAAGGGATCAGTCTGATTTCGACTGCCTCCAAATTGCTTGCCTCTGTCATTCTCCACAGACTGACTGGCACTCGTGAAAGCCAGATTCGTGAAGAGCAAGCCGGATTTCGTCGAGGTCGGGGCTGCATCGACCGCATCTTCATTTTGCATCAATTGTTGGAGCACCGCCATGTTTATTGGCGACCCACCGATGTCGTGTTTTTTGACATAAAAGGTGCTCTCGACTCAGTCGATGGACGTGCCCTTTGGGACTGTCTGCTGAGGAAAGGTGTGCCTGATAAATACGTAAACATTATCAAAGCGCTGTACGTGCATAGTTCGGGCAGAGTGAGGGCTTATGGCAAACTGTCGCCACCCTTCAGTATCACCAGCGGTGTGAGAAATGGCTACCCGCCGTCACCTTTCCTCTTTAACTTCGCTATTGATGAAGTCATGGAAACAGTGTTCGTTGGACACGACGTGTGGAGCTACTTCTTGGTAAGCGACTTCTTGACTTAGAGTATGCTTAGAGAGAGAGTATGCTCCCAAACGTGCCAAGCAGTACTGGACCGATTATCACTGGCTGTCAATCGTTTTGGGCTATGCTTTGCTCCATCGAAATGCAAAGTACTTCTCCAAGATTGGCAGGGACCCAACCCTGAGCTAACGCTTGGTGGTGATCGGCTAGAAGTCGTTCAGGAATTCGAGTGTCTGGGCAGCTATATTAGCACCCATGGGACTGAAGATGAGGTTACGAAGCGTATAGCAAAAGCTCGAGGTGTTTTTGCCAATCTCCGCCACCTGTGGCGCAGACGCGACATTACTCTCGCCCTCAAGGGCAGAGTTTATAACGCAGCCGTCCGTTCAACTCTCCTATATGGTTGTGAAACCTGGCCCATCAGGTCGACAGACACAGAGGCTCGTCATATTCGATCATCATTGCTTTTGCAGCTTAGCTCATGTCTGGTGGGAGCACCGCGTGAGCAATGAGCGTGTTCGGCGCAGGAAGAGCAAGTGAACCACTCAGCACCATTATATCACGCACCAGGCTCCGATGGTTGGGCCACGTGTTGCGCATGCCATCACAGAACTTCCGCGACGTGCATTGTTTGCGCGTTGTGGATGCGGTTGGAAGAGGAGGAGGGGAGGCCAAGTGATGACTTGGTCGAAAGAGATGAAAACCCTCACTTCGAAGTTGGCGTCGGTTGGTGCATCGCGACTGTCTGGCTGGGGTACTAAGGACGGTGAACACATTTTGTTGGACACACTTGCTGATATGGCTTGGAGCCGGCCCCACTGGCGTTTGTGTTGTGAGTTCCTTTGTCCACCCCCTCCTGCTTAGCATCCCCCACCAATCACGATCTCACTCGTTAGGCGTAATATGACTCTCTTTTTACGGCACGATAGTCAGCAGTTAGCTCTCCGGAACGATGTCCATCCGTTACTGGGGAC